AGGAAGATAATCTACAACCTCTAATGTCAAATGAAAATTTCTAAAAAGAGAGATAATCTGCTTTGTTTAAGGAAAAAAATAAATGTTAAAAAATTAAAGAATTTGTTTAAAGGTGGATAATCTACAACTTTCAAAACATAATAATAAGAGTAGAATAATCTATTCATTTCTAAAATAAGATAAAAATAATAAATTAAGACTCTTATCAACTTGTCAAGGACATGAATCTTAAAGAAAGAAAACCTTGATACACTCTTGCATTACTCAAAAAGACTAAAAAAATCACTCAAAGATGGTAATATATTAAATTAAAAGGGCTATTGTCAAAAATAAGAAGATTAAAAAGTCTTGAAATAAGACTAAAGACTAAGAAGGCATTGATAAGAGTGAAGAAGGCTTTACTCTTGCTTCCATATATACCTTTAACTAAGAGTTATATGGCAATATCCTACAGAAACTCCAAAATATGTTGACTTTGGAAGACACATAACTTAACTTGCAAGGCAAGTTTTTTATATGTGTGCCACGTAGTTAACTTGTTTTGCAAGCTACCAATATGTGGTTAACTTGTTGATCAAGTTTCTAATGTACCAATCAATTACAAACACATGAAAAGTCAAATCAATATTTGTGATGTTTTTAGAAAGTTTTTCTAAAAAATACTATGAAATAAATCTACTTTTAGCTATTTCTACTTAATCATATAGGTACATATTAGAATAAATATATATGTCCATGAAAATCTAAGAGTTATTTTGTAAATAAATTTATTTTTGTTATTTTTTTCCATAATACTAATATTATTTCCATGAATAGTCAATGGTAGAAATACAAGAGCTTTAAAATGTTGGGATGCAATGGTAATAATTGAAACCATAGTACAAGCAGTTGAGGATGTTAAAACACTCATTAGAATTAAATTTGTGAAGAAAATACAAGATCAAGTAGAAAAAGTTGAATAAAATGTACCTTGAAATGTAAAGCCAAATAAAATAATAAAAGTGAACTTAAAATAAAAAATATTAAAATTTTGGGATTTTTTTTTTTTTTTTTTTTTTTTTTTTAAAAAAAACAAGAATATATGATAGACTACAGCATCAATGGCCGACTACAATAGTTGTGGTGGAAAATAGAGACAAACAATGGCAACACTGATAAATGATAGCGACAAATGGTAAAAGTAAATGACAATAGTAGTGGCAGACGATAATGGCAGATGGTAAGGATAGACGATGACAATAGTGGTGGATGATACCGACAAAGGATGGAGCATAGTAGCCAATGGCAAGGCATGACAACTTAGTGGGATACAACAATCATGGACAACTAAGCGACAAGGCATGGTAGCTTGACGACAAGATTATAAAAGAGTAGGCAGCACCAAGTAGAGCACGGTATTGCAGTAGCTAACAAAACAAAGTAAGGCCTTCCATATAAGATACAAAGCAATGCAATGTAAAAAAAAAAAAAAAAAAAAAACAAAAAACAAGAAAAAGACTAAGGACTAAGTACACACAAGTTTTTAAAAACGAAGACTAATGCATAGGAGTAGTCAAGTTGATAATATATTGAGAATGTTTACAAAGACATAAGAGTAGTTAGAAGTAATGTGCATATATACAAACACAAGAGAAAGTGTATTGACGTGGATATCTCTTATATACAAAGAGAAAAGAAAAGATAAATAATTTCTTTCTACTACATTCCAAACATTATAACTACAATATTATGAAAAACTACAATAAATATTATGAAAAGAACCAACTATATTTAATATTCTTAATAGAATCCATAGAGTAGAGTTTCTTCTTTTGATTCCTTTCATATCTACATAAAATATCTATCTCTTTTCTTAAATCTCAATATTGATGATGCTCAACAAAATAAGATGTTAATCAATAGTGTAGCTTGAAAAAAAGCAATGACTTAAGAAATACCTCAATCCATCTTCCTTCTCAGTCTTTTACAATCGATGTTTTTCTCCTACTCAATGCCACAATGACTTAAGAAATACTTCAATCCATCCTCCTACTAAGTCTTTTACAATCGATGTTCTTCTCTCGGTCATTGCCACATTGACTTAAAAAATACTTCAATCCATCCTCCTTCTTAGTCTTGTAAAATCGATGTTCTTCTCCGGCTCAATGCTACATTGACTTAAGAAATACTTCAATCCATCCTCCTTCTCTGTCTTTTACAATCCATGCTCTTCTCCTGCTCAATGTCACATTGACTTAAGAAATACTTCAATCCATCTTCATTCTTAGTCTTTTACAATTGATGTTCTTCTTTCGCTCAATGCAACATTGGCTTAAAAAATACTTCAATCCATCTTCATTCTAAGTCTTTTACAATAGATGTTCTTCTTTTGCTCAATGCCACATTGACTTAAGAAATACTTAAATCCATCCTCCTTCTCATTCTTTTATAATCGATGTTCTTCTCCCACTCAATGCCACAATGACTTAAGAAATACTTCAATCCATCTTCCTTCTCAGTCTTTTACAATGAATGTTCTTCCTCCACTCAATGCAACATTGACTAAAGAAATTCTTCAATCCATCCTCTTTCTCAGTCTTTTACAATCAATGTTCTTTTCTTCGTCATTACCACATTGACTTAAGAAAAACTTCAATCCATCATCCTTCTGAGTCTTTTATAATCGATTTTCTTCTCCCGCTCAATGCGACATTGACTTAAGAAATACTTCAATCCATCCTCCTTCTCAATGTTTTACAATTGATGATCTTTTCCAACTCAAAGCCACATTGACTTAGGAAATACTTCAATCCATCCTCCTTCTCAATGTTTTACAATCGATGTTCTTCTCCAGCTCAAAGCCACATTGACTTAGGAAATACTTCAATCCATCATCCTTCTCAGTCTTGTAAAATCGATGTTCTTGTCCTCCTCAAAGCAAAATAGACTTAAGAAATACCTCAATCCATCTTCCTTCTCAGTCTTTTACAATCAATGTTCTTCTCCCACTCAATGTAACATTGACTTAAGAAATTCTTCAATCCATCCTCTTTCTCAGTCTTTTACAATCAATGTTCTTCTCTTGGTCATTGCCACATTGACTTAAGGAAAACTTCAATCCATCCTCCTTCTCAGTCTTTTACAATCAATGATTTTGTCCCGCTCAATGCGACATTGATTTAAGAAATACTTCAATCCATCCTCCTCCTCAGTGTATTACAATCGATATTCTTCTCCGGCTCAAAGCCACATTGACTTAGCAAATACTTCAATCCATCCTCCTTCTCAGTCTTTTAAAATCGATGTTCTTCTCCGGCTCAACGCGACATTGACTTAAGAAATACTTCAATCCATCTTCCTTCTCAGTCCATTACAATCGATGTTCTTCTCCCGCTCAATGCCACATTAACTAAAGAAATACCTCAAACCATCCTCCTTCTCAGACCTTTTTCAATCGATGTTCTTCTCATGGTGAATGCTACATTAACTTAAGAAATATTTCAATCCATTCTTCTTATCTCTCTTTTACAATCGATGTTCTTCTCCCGCTGAATGCCATATTGACTTAAAAAATACTTTAATCCATCTTCCTTCTCAGTCTTTTACAATCAATGTTCTTCTCCCGCTCAATGCCACATTGACTTCAAAAATACTTCAATCGATCCTCCTTTGCAGTCTTTTACAATTGATGTGCTTCTCCATCTCAATGCCACATTGAATTAAGAAATACTTCAATCCATCTTCCTTCTCAGTCTTTTACAATCAATGTTCTTCTCCTGCTTAAAGCGACATTGACTTAAGAAATACTTCATTCCATTTTCTTTTTCAGTCTTTTATAATCAATGTTCTTTTCCCGCTCAATGTCACATTGACTTAAGAAATACTTCAATCCAGCTTCTTTTTCAGCCTTTTACAATTGATGTTCTTTTCACACTCAATGTCACATTGACTTAAGAAATACTTCAATCCAGCTTCTTTTTCAGCCTTTTACAATTGATGTTCTTTTCACACTCAATGTCACATTGACTTCAGAAATACTTCAATCCATCTTCCTTCTCCGTCTTTTTCAATCGATGTTCTTCTACCGCTAAATGCCACATTGACTTAAGAAATACTTCAATCGATCCTCCTTTGCAGTCTTTTACAATTGATGTGCTTCTCCCCCTCAATGCCACATTGAATTAAGAAATACTTCAATCCAACTTCCTTCTCCGTCTTTTTCAATTGATGTTCTTCTACCGCTCAATGCCACATTGACTTTAGAAATACTTCAATCCATCCTCCTTCGCAGTCTTTTACAATTGATGTTCTTCTCACGCTCAATGCCACATTGACTTAAGAAATATTTCAATCCATTCTTCTTATCTGTCTTTTACAATCAATGTTCTTCTCCCGCTGAATGCCATATTGTTTTAAGAAATAGTTTAATCCATCCTCCTTCTCAGTCTTTTACAATCGATGTTCTTCTCCTGCTCAGTGTCACATTGACTTAAGAAATACTAAATTTTTTCTTCCTTCTCAGTCTTTTACAATCGATGTTCTTCTCCCTGTCAATGCCACATTGACTTAAGAAATACCTCAATCCATCCTCCTTCTCAGTCTTTTACAATCGATGTTCTTCTCCCCCTGTGCCACAAATCGCTACTAGAAGTTGCAAATGCTCCCTTATTTTTAGCAATGCAAGGAGAATTGAACTTGCAGCAAAAGAAGGGCATTGTTCGAGGTACACATTCACACACACTCCCTGAAAGATTTTGTAAGCAATGCTGGATCTCCATAGCTCGATGAATCCTCAGCAAATGAAAACCCTAGTGCCTAGACAGGTATAGTTTGTAACCTCGGGCACACGCGCCAGTCACAGGTGACCGAGAACCCTCGGTATTAGGAATGGAGTGGGAATGACCCTGCCGACGCCCGCCGGAGAAGGGGTGACCGGAGCCTCGGCCCCACCTCTCCGATCGCTGCTTTCATGATATGAGTATGTGGTGCGCACACGTCTCAGCAGATAAGGAGGAAACGCAGCTGGGCTGCTTGGACCATAATCTACCGCAATGAGATTGTCACACAAATTGGGGCTCAACTTTTCCCACAATGGCGGGCTCACTACGCAATACAAAATTCCCCCTCCAGCGCTAATACTCTTTTTCCTTGCGCTTTCGAGATTTTTTTTTCTTTTTTTTCCGGTTGTTACCTTTGGCTCCAAGCTGTGAATCGTTACCTGGGAATTCATGGCGTTGTGGGTGAAGTCCCTGTTGTAGTTGAGATCGGGTTTCGAAAGAGAAAGTGCAGAATCTGCGGCTAATAAGGGCAGTGCGTGGAGATTGCTGGAGCTTGGAGGTTTTGTTGAATAGAGTCTCAACTGGAGATCGTGAAGTCCGTGATGACATACTGAGATGCCGGACAAGCGTCGCGATTGTGAATTCTGTGTGCTTGGTTCTGAAGCGTAGATTGTTTTTGGAAGGTCAGTGCAGTTGCATTTTGGTGTTTCGGGATTTGAGATTTGGGATTTGAGATTATGGTGCGTGGGAGGAAGTGAAGGGGAGGTTGGTTAAGGCACGTCTATGGATGTGGGCGGCTTGAAGGCTTTTGCAGGCTCCTACTCCCAGGAGCTTCTCGCAACTCCCCGCGTATTGTGGACGAATGTCAGCTGGTGAATAAGCACAAGCTGCTGCAACTGTTGGTCCAACGGAAGTCTGCATGTAGAGGGGCCTCGCAGCCGCGGAGTTCCAAGGGAGGCATTGTTGTCGCCAATGCAGCTGTTGTGGATGATGTGGGCGCGGTTCCTACCACAGTTCTGGGGTTATTGTGGCTGTGTTTCAAAGATATGGGATCAATTATGCCCTCCTCTGTGTTGTCTTTCTCGTCTTCAATGCCATCCTCGTTAGCGGAAGTACAAGGAGCTAAATTGCAAGCGAAGGCTAAAACCATCGCGCACGGTAATGAGGTATTTCTTCTTCTTTTTGGACTTTCTTTTGAGGAAGATATTTGAGAAATTTGTAGGTGCGATATCTTTGAAGAATTACTGCACTGGGGCTCTGAAGTACGGCTACCGAGTGAACTCAAATCTCTTGCGTTTGAATTTCGGCGAATGCATTGTCCAGTCGATTCATTGGATATTTCGAGTTGAATTATCTGTAGTCAGTGCACACTATCACTTTTGTTTGAAATTGACGCGTTTGGGTGAGTTTTTGAGGCAACGTAAGGGGTGTGAGTGTTTCTCGCATCTGCTGCATCAAAGGCTGCACAATTTTGCTTACTCTCAATGGCGTTACTTGAAATGCAAATCAGTCTTCAGGGACTTTCGACAATGTCGTTACAAAGCGATGGAAGTACGAAGACGGTGGGACGTCCGCTGAGAGTCGTGCAACTTCAGGACGTTCGGCATCTACTTCTGGGCTAGTCAGGCACAAATTGAAAGGTAGTCTTGGGCGCAGCATTGGCAGAAGGTCAAAGAGGAACTTAAATGCAGATGAGGCATCTGTGGATGATGCACGAACTTCTCAAGGACTGGTGCGAATTAATGGGTCATCAACAACTGCTCTTGAGAACTGTAGTCTTGATCTGATGATATCTGAGATTAGGTCGAGTGAGAGGTTGGAAGAGGTTGGATCTCGAAGCATCGGACTTGCTCGATTGAGTTCGAAAGCTATCGGTCAATCCAGGCCATACAAGTCAATAAAACAGGATCTAATGTCACAAATTCGAGCAGAAGACGGTAGTGGGCTTTCTGGGGTTGAGGCAGAGCAGATTGCAGCTTCTCCTAGGTCGCAAGATGGTCGTAGTGATGGAACTAGTACCAGTACATTTGTTGAGCTTCTGGCTGATGCTGCTGTTGGTTCGGGTGACAGTTCTGTTGTAGCTACAGATTGTGCAATTGGGGGGAACGGAACAATAGATGGTGTAGATATTTTTTCAACGGACATTGGTTCAGGCCCATTGGCAAATGAGAGTAGGAAATTGAGTGTTCAGGCGGATAACTTGGGAATGAATAAAAACTTGGAAAGGGTTTCTGTGTTGGACAACGGTTCAGCTGAGCAAGTTTTCCCTCGGGAACAAACCAAGATAATTTCTGACGCCAAAAAAAGTGCCATTCTAAATATTCACAAGCAGCTAAGCAGTTTGACTTCTAGAAAGGGAGGAACTTCTCTAGTTGATAGGGGAGAGAAGATTGTTGTAAGGAAAACTACAACTTGGAGAGACGCAGTCAAGTTGCCTGACACAATTGAAGAAGTGCTGCCAGTGGATTCTAAGAGGGATCCAGCTGTGTATTTGTTCTTATATGAGAAGTTTTTGGAAGCTGGCAGGTTCAATATCTTAACTGTCATTAGACTTTGAGACCTCTTTGTACGCAAGTTATGTTTTCCTTCTCTATTGTAAAGTGCATGCGAGCTAGGTCTTTTTGAACAGTAAAGTTCAAACAAATTTGTCTGGCTGTTATATTTTGTCGTTTTAGACATTGTTAATTGATAGTGTATCTGGCATTGCAGGCTGCGAGATTGCGTGGCAGTTCTTGAAAGTATGGACGAGCATTTGATTCTGAACATGAAGAAGGTAAAGACAACAGGGGTTGAATTCTCTCTTCTTCTGGTTCTGGAGTGCTTCATCAACCTTATTCAAGACTAAGTTGTTTTTTTTTCGTGCAGGTGAATTCTTACGAGTTTTATTCCGCTTGTAAAAAGAGACGTGCGCTGAAGGAGGCTTTTAAGTTTTCCCGACTGGTACGAAGGAAGTCATTGCGAAATTTTAACATGCTTCTCTCCGTCTGTGCTCATGCTCAAGATGCATCATGTGAGTTCTTGTAAACAAGTATAATTGGTTATTGGTTGGGTTCGTGTGATAAATGAGGAGTATGTGTATTCTTGAAGACTCTACTCGTCGAGGTCATGTTTTTGAGCAGTTCCTGTTACAAGTTCTTGTTCTGTTCTTTAATCACTGTAATCTTGTAGCACTCAAATAGTTCAAGTTATTAGACAAAAATCTTAAATACATGACCTAATTCTTCTCGAGGTCAGATTATTTTAAGGAAGAGGTAGTTGAAGTATGATTGTTCATCTGTTTAGTTGTTGTACACTTTTTATTTGAAATGCACGAGTCACTAAAATTGTTACGATTGTTGAATCAGCGGCTTGTCGAGTGCTCGATATGGTAAAAATGGCAGGGCTTCAAGCAGACTGCATTTTCTACACAACCTTGATTTCAGCATGTGCGAAAGCAAGCAGGATTGATCTGATGTTTAAGGTATGTGGTCGGAAAGCATGTGATCTCTAAGGAGAGAGGAGGTGAAAGGGATTGGCAAGCAATGTATTCAATACTCGAGGAAGGGCTAGTTTGGTATAAATGTTTTATTGTCCAGTGGCGAAAATTTTAAAATGCTCTTTCAAAGTACATACAGCATAGCCGAACGATGCACGTCTTATCTGATGGTAGCGATTTCGTGACAGTTCTTTAATGAGATGGAAATACAAGGCATAGAAGCAAATGTTCAAACTTTTGGGGCTATGATCGACGGGTGTGCACGAGCTGGAGATGTACCTAAAGCTTTCGGAATTTATAAGAAAATGTTGAACCAGGTAAATACTCTAAACAACTGCATAATATTTGAAGCAACTCGAATTTTTTACAACTGGACATGACTTGGTTAGTTCAACTGCTGGTTCGTTTCCCAAAGGATGCGTTCAAGTTGCTAGAAGTGTTGAGGAAGCATTTTCACCTGAAGCACTGCCAAACAGGAAGTGGAACCAGATCGAGTAATCTTCAATACATTGATCACTGCATGTGGGCGTGCTGGAGCTTTTCTGCGAGCGTTTGAGGTTCTGGCAGATATGCGAGATGCGCCCCAACCTATCGCACTGGATCATATCACCTATGGCGCCCTTATTGCGGCTTGTAGTCGCGCTGGCGAAGTATGTTACCGTCGCTGTGAATGAAAAATCCTGCTTTTGTTGATCACGTTCAAGCTAGGATACAGTGGTGTTAAGTTCTCCTTTTGGAGGGGGTACTCGATAAAGTTTGATTACAAAGCCGGTATTGATTTAGTTTCCCTTTCAGGTGGAAAGGGCTCTGGAAGTTTACAAGAGAATGCGCTCAAGTAAGGTTTCTGGAACGACCGAATGCTACACAGCGGCTGTTCACGCCTGCAGTCATAAAGGTTATCTAAATATCGCCCTGTCCATTTACGACGACATGAGGGAGGATGGTGTGCAACCAGATGAGGTATTCGCATACTGTGAAGCATAAATTCTTCGTCTTTTTTTAAGAAAAGAAAATTCCTGTTTAACATTTGCAGGGTTCTATTGGAGAGAGACACTTATTAGTTCTGAAATGGTTGGACAGCGTGTAATACTTGTACGTCATTACAAACGTAAATCCTGTCGTAATGAAATATTTGTGATATCCTGTTGCACAGGTTTTCTTTTGTGCGATGATGGATGTTGCAGGGCACGCTGGAAAGATTGATGTAGCTTTTGCAATCCTGCAAGAAATGAAGAACATAGGCACAAAGCCTAGCCCGGTCACATATAATACTTTGATGGTTGCCTGCAGCAAAGTAAGTACATGTGTGCCAGTTTTAGTTCAGCATATTTCATAGAACACTGCTGTTTCTAGTTATGTATATTCTTTTGATGTTTTTAAGCCATGCTTTTCATACTTGAGGCTCGTCTTTTTTCCGCAGGTAGATGATGCTGAGAATGCAATGCGTGTCTACGAAGAAATTAAAGCTTTGGGGTTGAGGCCCATCGTACCAACTCTCAATGCCCTTGTGGCTTCTCTATGTATAACATCTGCTTTTTAACCGTCAGTTTGGCTTACAGTGCCGTTTCTTGTTCCTTCAGTGTACCTTGCCTAGGTCTTGAGTAGGAATTCGTGAGAATGAATTCAGTTTAGCTATTTTTACTGGGCTTAAGCTCTCAGAGATGGTCAGGTGCAGGACGGGAGTTGGATAATGCGTTCAAGGTACTGGAAGAGTTGAGAAATTCTGGAGTAACTCCCAACAAGGACACGTACAATATTCTACTTGAGGCTTGCGAAAGGTATAATGGCCGCACCGTTGTTTTGCGAGGGTACAACATTATGAGCTGAAACCTTTGGCTAGTTGTTTAAACCCAACAGTTGAAAGGAGATTTTCCTATAATCTGGTCTGTACTTGTAGACCTGCTGACATTTGTGCATATTCACAAAGGATTTCTGCTTTGCAATATCTGACCTTGCAGAGTTTCCCAGGGATGACCAAGCAAACCTTGCTCTTGAGCTTTACAATCAAATTAAAGGCTATTCAATAGAGTTTACCCAGCAAATGTGCGACAGCATTCTTGGTGCGTTTCATGCTTTTATACTTAGTGTCATTGAATAAATATATTGGTAGTCACTACACATAGAGGAATTATTATATGCTGTTGATAAGATGTGACGTTTGGATTCTGCAGGTTTGCTGCTTAATATCTGTATATATTACAATCGTGGGTTTTTGCATGCAAGTTAATATTGCAAAGGGGTTTTATTCTTATGCCTTATCTGACCAACCTATGGCTGGAATGTACTCAGGTCTCTGCGTAAGTCGCGTTGAATGCGGTGCTCCGCCTCTTCAAGATCCTAAGCTTCTCTGTATAAAGACCATTGAAGATGATTTAGACTTGCATCAATTTTGGTATGTTCAAACCTGCAGGTTTTCGTGCTCGCTTCCTCTGCACTGCATTATCCTAATGGTCCTTTCAGCCAGTAGGAACAAGCTCCAGCAAGGTTCAACTTAGCTACTTTTCATATTTTGCGAGAGTGCGATCTGTGTCACGAACAAGAATTGATAACTTTATGTCGCCAGATATAAGTTCAAGATCACCACAACTTTCTGAGGAAACTGACATCACTGTCATTTTCAAATATCGACTTCTAGACGCGTTGTTGCAAGTCTTGTAATGAACAATTTTCATCACTTTTTAAGAATTTCGTTTTTTTATTCTGATCTAGCCATAATGAGCAATTAGAAGATATCGAACCTGGGAGTCGTTTTTTTGCAGGACAAACCAGGGGCTGGTCGTTTATGATGAACTGCTATCTGCTGGTCTTACCCCCACACTAGAAACTGTAAATCGAGTTCTTGGCTGCATGCGCGTATCTAAACGGAATTCACGATTCCTCTTGTCTGACGAAGGCTGCTCAAACTCACGAAGACATAATAAGAACCGAATTTTCTTTAATGTTGAAGAAGCGTGTAGCGTGTACCTGCCTCGGGCTCTGACCCTTTATGAGGTATCTCAACCTTAATTAATCTCTTGTCAGAAAATGCCGTTGTCAGTTTATCTATCATTTACAATCTGTTGGGTTGGAGTAATTCTGTGCTGTATGCATGCCATTTTCAGGTGTATGATGAATGACCCATGTTTGCTAACTTTAATATTCATTATTTCAGGAGGCAAGAAGCTTGGGTGTTATTCAAGAAGTGGATTATGCTGTTGCACCAATTTTTGTTGATATGAGAACCTTTCCAATTTACGCCGTCGAGGTAAGAACCTAATCATGACTGATTCCGGGAAAGCGTGATGTGTGTTTAGTGTATGATTCGCAAAACTTCATGGTGAGTCTTTGATGGGCAATACAAAATATGGAGTGAACATGAGAACGCCTAATTTATTTTTATTTTTGTTTTTTGAATGTCTAATGTAACCCTCTCTTTTGACGCCTCAGGTTACTTGTTTTCGATAACTGTGTTTCTGTGTTTGTTAGTGTCCCGTAGATGATTGAAAATATAGCTTCATACTTTCGTTTACATGTTACTGAGGGCGCATACTTTTCCAGGTTGGTGTTCTTGTCCTCCTCAAGGACCTAAAACAACGGCAAGAATTAGGTACGAAGGTCACTTTGACTATACAATCTCACGTCCATGTCCGAAGTTATGTCGTTCGTACGAACAATAACGTGACCAGTCATTAGTTTTTATTTTGTTGTGTCAATTGTGGCTTTCCAAGTTCGAAAAATACGCTGGAATTTGTTGGCACTGTTGAGTAATTTCACTGACTGGAATTTTGGTGTTTGGACAGGATTGTATTTAAATTCGGTGAAACTGATCTTTGCGGTAGAAGTCAAAGAAGTGTTCACCGCAAATGGTGGTTTCAGGAGGGTTCGAGTCTCTTCAAGGTTTTTTTCTTTTTGAAAAAATTCTACTTTCCTCTGAATTACAGCCTGAAGGATTCTTGAGTTGCAGTGACATAAGACATCTGTTATGCATAATTTGTCGGGCTGAAGACCCATATCGATCTTGTGGGTCCTTCAGTGGAATGATGAGCCTTGCATCTCTTACTGGCACTGCAGGACTGGACAAGCAGTGAAAACCTTGTTGAGGAAACTGCGAATAAACTACCGGGACTACGACAGTGTAGGGGAAGTCACCATCACTAACTCAGCAATTCGCAACTGGTTTCGAGCTGCACAGAGAGCTCATCAGAGATCAGTTAGTATGCAAGCAGTGGAAACAAACTCCTCAACCTGCAGTACGGAATCGTTGACAGCGGTAACCAGACCAGAACAGAGACTTTTGCATTATTTACCGTCTGTTGAAAGTGCTTCAGTGGTGTAGAATAGGAATCCCCGACTGTCGATCTTCTGATCATCGAGAGTCGGCACACAAATGCAGGAAACGAGCATTAAATTTGTTATCTCCTTGTGAATGAAAGTCTCGTTTTTCCTGCACACATTGTTCCCACTGCCCATCTCAGAGGTTACACAATGCCGCTCTAAAACTCGAAAGAAGCTGATTGTGTCAACTAAAAAAACTCAAAATTTTGTTTCTTACATCTTCGAGAAATCGTCCGATACTTATACCTCATTAAAAACTATAATTGATGGAAATGGGATATTCTAGAAATTGTAGATGAATTATTGAATAATGTGCATGTTTGGTCTGAACTATATCAAAAATAGAAAGGGTCACATGTATATGATGTCAAAATCTAAAAATTGTAGCAAAACCTAACAGATTTTAACACCATATATATGTAAATTAATATATATTTTGACATAATTCTTTTAATTAAAATATTCAATTAAAATACTCCTGTCCTAATTAGGATATTAAAAGTAAAAGCAGGAAAAACAAGTAAGCTAAAGAAAATTCTGTATCCTTTTCAAGAAAGTTTTTAGTGTGTAACAGATTCAGGTAAACAAGTTACAAATGCTTCAAAAATAAAGCAATCACATGATTAACTAATATAAGTATGATGTGTTAAACTAACCTTAATTCTGGAGTTATAAAAGTGGCACGATAGATTTTTGAGCGGTTTTATAAATTCAATGATTTTAATCTATGTTGGATAAAAATCATGGACTCTTTATAATGGTAAAACTCGTAATAGTGGCTTGTGTTCTGTTAACATGGGATGTAGATTGTTAAACACTAATGCTCTTGTGGAATTTAGGGCTAGCCCTAGTTGGGGTTCCAAAGAGGTGGAATCCTCCTTGGCCAAGGTGCACGGTAGAGTCCTGCAGTATATTAATATCATGAAGCAACCAAATAGCGATAATAGAGGCCTTGACATTATGGAATAGATCCATGAATAAGAGACACAATAGAGACAAATTGAGGTCAAAGTCTTGGTCCAAGTTTTTGAAATCCAAAAGTTGTTACTACTATAGAAAGGTAGGACATTTTAAGATGGGCTATTACAAATAAAAGCCCTTATTCATTTAAAAATAGTCCATTTTTATTCAAATTTTTGCATCCATAGGAGTTTAAGAGTTTACAATCATTATATGGCATCAAGTTTGTGCAAATTGGTATTAAATCTCAATATAAAAATAAAAGCCAAAATAATCTTTTGAGCTATGTTTACATTTGTTTTTCTATTATAAATATTATTAATTGATTTTTTATATTAACTAATAATAAAATGATCTAAAAAATTTAAAAAGATAATATCTTTTTGTTTCTTTTAATAGATGATTTTTTAAGATTAAAATTTATGATTTCATCTAAAAAAGGATATTGATACAAAACAAGCAAGCAATTTTGTCTTATTCTTTTTTGTATAATTTTTCTTTTTGATGGACTACTACTAACATTGATTGTAGTTTTAGTCTTATATATATATATATATATATATATATTAATAAAATTAAGACCAGATCTTTGATTTTATATGATTCAAAAAATAAACTCCAAAGATATTTTATTGAATACTTTGACAAGATTAGATTTCAACATTAATAGGTTATAGTTGGAAGATTTGGTCTAATGGATGGTTCTATATTTTTAAGAAATAAAATATAATTAATAAATTAATAAATTAAACTAAAAAAATTGTCTTAATCTATTAGATTTGTTAGAATTTATTTTATCTTTAGTTGTAGGATTTTAGTAAAGATTTTGTAAGAAATATTAAAATAATTGATAGATTAATAGATTAATAGATTAATAGTTTTTACTAATATTTTGGTTAATAGATTTTAAAATAAGAATTCTTAGACCTTTAAAAAAATCTTTTAAAAAGGATTTTCTTTCTAAAAAAAATCAATTATAAGTCTTGAATAATTATTTTGGTTGATGGATTAAGATGTTTTAAAGAATTCAATATCAATGCCATCTAGGCTTGGAATTTGGTTTAGGGTTTATTCTTTCATAACTTCTTAAAATGTAAGTTTGAAAAAGAGTAGAATTTTAGAAAAGGACTTTTTGAGCAACTTGTATCACTTCTATCTTATTTAAGACAATAATGTAATTGTTGTCTTTGATTCTTGTCATGTTAGTTGTTTGGTTTTAAATAGTTTATGAATTTTTTTGAATATGTATTTCTAAACATATTTGACTTGTGATCTTAATTTTTGGCCTTCAAATTTTCTTTTTGTTGGTTTTCTTGTTGTTGTTAAAACATTAATTATTGTACCATCTTATAAGGGTGTGGATGAAGTCAACTATGGATAATTTCAAAGGCCTTTCTCTATTCATTTACTTCTTTTTCAAGACCAAGCTTGGATTTTACAAAAATATCTCTATTAATAAGTTTCTTTGCAAAGTTTTTGAAAAAAAATAGTCTCTTCTAAGCTTGTCCAAAATTGTCAAATAGTGAATTGGACATTTTTATATTCTATGAGTAAAGTATTGGGAGTATAATGGAAGGGGGGTTTATTAGAAATGGTAAATTGAAGTATCAAACTAAGTAGAAGGAGATCCAAGAGAAAATCATCACTAACACAACAATCGAATAGAATAGTTTGAATGAGATAATGTATAACAACCTATCAAGTCTTCCAAGGGATCCCCCACCATCTTATCAAATATCCTAGAATTATTTAACGGAGTAGTTGGCTGAAAGAAGTGAAGTAAATCTAAATGCTCTTTGGTTTCATGCCATGATGTTTTTCCATGACAGTCAACCTGCTACTGTGAGAAGTAGATTTGTCCTCAACTGTTTCAATCATATTCCAATCCAATTCAACCACTGCTCAGAGAGAGTCTTGAAGTGCTTCCCATTTTTGTCCCTTTTGAGAAACTCAATAGGTATGTGAATTTTTAGCTCCTTAGTTTGCCCTTCCAGTAAGGAATCCAGACAATATGCTTTTGTACTACCAGGTTTATTTTTGTTAATTGAGGCAACTGATATACGCTGTCAGTTGGAATATGATTGAAAAGAAAAGAAATGTGACTGAACTGAGCCTGGATGGCCCACCGCATGTTGATGGAAGAGCTCAGTTTGCTTGGAGCTTGGATCCATGTCGTATCCTCCCAAGGAAGCATTCTCAACCTGTCAGTCCAGATACCGCATGCCGTGCAATTATTGGGCAAAACCTGCACAGAAGATGTGACACACAAGGGAGTTGGCAGGCACGGCACAGAATCTGACCCCCGAATCTTACTGTCTACAATGCACTTGTGCCTGCGGATTGATTGCAGCACCTGTGAGCAGTGAATGCTGCTGCCAAAAACTAGCGGAGGGTTCTTAAATTGCACGGGGACCAACTGTGAAACCATTTGCAAGCAGTAAATTTTCCGTAGGATATGGTTGCGCAATCATTGAAAATGAAAGGAGGGAAACTTGCGTCGAAAGCTTATAAAGAACAAACTTTATACCATTCATCTCATGGTAAAGCTGATTACATGCCAGCGACTCGCTTACAAGAGCGATCTGGCTATGCAGCGGGGCCCATTGCAGTGAACTGTAACATAAACTGCTCAGGTAGTAAAGTCAACCATGATTTTTACAGCGTGACTCTCAAGTAAAGGTTAGTAGCAGCTTGTAGACCAACTATTCCCCTTAAGAGTTTGCCTGCAATACAAAAAGATACAGTAAAAATCAGCGCTAAGTATCCCATTGGTGTAAACAAAGCACTTTCCATCACTTGATTACAAAAAGCCAGCAAAGCAGATAAACTATCGCTACAGTCCTCGGTCAATACAGAAGATAGCAATTACTTAAAAGCTAGGAACACGCACCAATAAAGCCGTTTAATTTGAGTCTTCTTATTATTTGACTTCGCTACCGTTCTCCAGCCTCGTGCAACATGACTATCAAGGTGTGCTGTAGAAAACGTGTTACAGCACCGAAGTTCTAAAACCCAGTCAACACACCGGAAAGTTCACAATCAATCCGTATTTACTTTCTTGTCCTCTAATCTCTGCTTGAAGATCGTTTAAGGGCAAGGACTTCATTCCAGAAACTATGGAGTAGCCATGTGCGTGGTACAAACTCAATTGCATTCAAGGGAACTAAATCTTGCTTTCCTGACCTTCGAGGGGTACGAAGCTCCAGCACATACTCCACAACAAACTCTCCAAAACCCCTTCAAGTTCTCACATGATCCTGAGTCTTCCATCACAGCAGTGACAAGGGAACCTACTTCATAAGATCCTCTTCTGATCCTCATACACCGAGAAGTACCGTCAATCTCGCGGAATAAGCCTGCTCCGTTTTGCCGGAAGCTTAACAAGCCTCTCGCAGTAGCGCGAATGCACCCTTCGTGTTTGCTCCAACCTCAAGACACCGCAGTACAAAGCATTGTAATAGCCAGGTCCGCCATCGGGACCACGTCACCATTTGCACCCAACTAATGACAGTGATTCTTCAACTAACACCTAAAGTTAAGTCCAAAAGAATCTGCACAAAATCTGAAATCGAATCGCCAAATGTCTTGAGCAACATATCTTCCAAAACCTTCAGATGGTCATTGCAGGTGCTGGGAAGAAGGGAGTAAAGATTGTGATTCGCTTATTCTCAACTACCTCACTGCCACGCTTTTATCAGGATTCAATGACCCTTCTCTGACAAGTCTCATACTCAGACTGTTGAAACGATCCCGAGAATACTGACGTGAAGCTTTCCTCCAATCTGTACCCCTCCGCATCATCGCAGAAAACTCCTCATAACTGATCCGCCCATCTTTGTCAACGTCAACTTCCAACAGAATGCCCTGTACCACATCAGATTCGCTTGGGGAACCATTCAACGGCTCTCCCACGGCTACTCTCAACTCCTCCGTCTCAATGTATCCACTCCCATCTACGTCAAAAACGTCGAACGCCTTTCGCAGGTACTCATCATCACCCAGACGTTGCAAATGCACTGCGGCCGCCACAAACTCTCCGTAGTCCAGAGCCCCATTCCCATCTACATCCGCTGCCCCCATTAGCATTCGCACTTCGTGCTCTGTCAACTGAGATCCGATCTCGATCAGCCCCATTTTCAATTTCTCGAACGTGATGACACCCGCGTTGTCACTATCCAGCTTCTCGAACATCTCCTTCAACCCGTTCATCTCCTCTCCGCCCAGACTCTCAGCTATCACTTGCAGCGCCCTCTTCTTCAGCTTGTTCATGGCCGAAAACTGCTTCAACCGCGACCGCACCGTATCCAGAGGCACGTTAGGATTCTTCTTCGCGTTCTGCAGCCATGGGTGATCCAGCACCTGCTGTGCATTGTACCGGGCTTTCGGGTCCGGTTCCAACATGCGCCGGACCAACGACTTCGCGGAGTCTGACACCTTTGGCCATGGATCTCTCTTAAAATCCAATACACCCCGCAAGATCGCCTGCGCCACGCCCTGCTCCGTCTCCGCCCAGAAAGGAGGTACCCCGCACAGCAAGATGTACAGGATCACCCCCGCGCTCCACACGTCCACCTCCGGCCCGTAGTTCCTCTTCAGCACTTCGGGCGCCATGTAGTACGGACTGCCCACAATCTCAGAGAACTTCTCCCCCGGCTTGAAAAACACCGAAAGCCCAAAGTCGATGGCCTTCAGCACCGAATTCTCATTCTTATTCGCGAACAGAAAATTCTCCGGCTTCAGGTCCCGGTGTATCACTCCTTGTATGTGGCATGCTTGCACCACCTCAACAATGGTGCGTGTTACTTGAGCAGCTCCGCGCTCGGTGTAATGCCCACGCGCAATGATACGGTCGAAAAGCTCCCCTCCTTCACACAGCTCCATGACGAGATGAACGGCATTGTCATCCTCGAACGCACCATTCAGGGTAACGATATTGGGATGCTCAGGCAAGTGTTTCATAATTGCGACTTCTCGCCGCACGTCCTCCACATCCACAGCAGTCCTCAGCTTCTTCTTCGAAATAGACTTGCATGCTAAAGTCTCGCCCGTCTCCTTGTCTGTGCACAAATACGTGATGCCAAACTCCCCACGCCCGAGCTCCCTCCCCAGAATATACTTATCGAGTATCTTAGCCTTCGGTTGGTTCTTCAGAATTTGTGAGTTAGCCTGATACCCATCCTGTGCAAAAGGATTCGGCCTCTGCTTGGGCTTCTTCGTCGCCGAGCCTGCACAGCAGTTGCCCATATTTTCTCCCCTCGCTCATGCAACGCACCTCTCTATCTAACCAAAAACACCTCACCCCAGCTATGCCCTGTATTAATGCGTCGACCTCCCGGAACCTCACTGCAACAATCGGCTCCGGAGAAACAACCACCGGTGCCGAAACCCTTAGACCCCGCCGTTGTGCTCCCGTCTCAACCCTCAATGCAGCTCTCTCTCTCTCTGCAGCCAACCCTTCTCCTCTCCCTCTTTCTCTTGTAACGTCCCACTCACAGCACTATCTCCTTTAAGGAAACAAAAAAATTATTCACATTAAAACAAAAATACGCCCGAATTGCTGACTACACATCGCTGCATTCCTTGCGATGGCGCGCCCACGACGAAAACAACAACAACAACAACACCAACAGCAGCAAACTATGCGGACACCACACCACAAGCACTGCGTCAGATTTGCAGGAGCCTCTCCCTCTTTCTCTCTGTGTCTCCCGCACACTTCACCTCCATGAGCAGCGCGTCCCAATCTGTGACCGCGTTATTGCCGCTGCCTTTGAATGGCCTTACACGCCATGCCTGTCTTTCCCCTCTCCCCTCCCGACACCCTCATGTATCCCATGGAAGTGGGTGAATCTCGGCTATACCGTATTGCAAGGGTGCGTACATGTCTCGTCGCCATCGGCAGCCGTGACATCGGACAGCGAAGTTTTCCAGGAAGCAGAGACGGCGACGGTGGGTCAATGGTAGCCGCTAGCAGCACCAGCGTTCTTTTTTCTTTTTTCTACCTTCTTTTGAACGGGTGGGAAGGGGGGGGGGGTGTTTTCCAATGTTTGACTTCCCACATGAGCCTGGTTTAGAATTTCAGCCGCGACGGGGTTTTATATTATTAGTATTACACTATTTGTGATTTAGACCGTGTGTTAGATTGAAAACTTTCGGTACATGCTGCTGCCAAAGGGCAATTTCCTTCAATAAACCTCGCGATAGCAACACGGATTTGCGGGGGGGAATGATATGATGAAAGGGATCGCAAAGTGGGCCCCGAGAATTTAAGAATGTTAGAGTGAAGGAATGAAAAGTCTGGACAGCCCATGTGGTGGAGATTCAGGAGATACAGAAGTCATCAGTGTACCTCCTGATCTCTTTGTGTTCAGTATATCTATTGCCCTCCATCTCTCCCACGTAAAAGAAAAAAACATGAAGAAGAAGGAAGAAAACGAGCTTCGCTGCTCGAAACACAGAAGAAGAAGAAGAGCATGTGCTTTTTGCTTCTTTTGCTGGATTCGGAATCCGCAACGTTTTTGGCTTAGGTCTTTTTCTGGAAGTGAAGAGGGGTCACGTGTTGGGTTGTTTTCGAATCATTGGAAAGTCAGTGGTAGGCTATGGGCACACTTTTGGCGACCACGAATGCCACGTTCTAATATGTCCGCCCCAAAACTTACTCCACCCACTAATTTACTATTCCCGTTGAAGATGTGTATTGCGTTGGTTGAGGAGCCGTGGAAGTCAGATGGGGGGAGGAGAATTTAGTTTCGGAATTGGAACGTTGAGTGGAGATTCCTTGGCGAGGGTGAGGTCTGGATAAAATTCCTTCCCTATGAAGAGCGCCGGAAGAGGAGACTCTCGGCCAGGCGCCATCCCTGTCGTGTACACCTACTCTCTGATGATCATCCATCGCCTTTGACTGATCTCTCGCGCTGACTGTGTCCTGGGAGGCTGTGTTTTGGCAGTGGGGTTGGACCTGTGTTGATATGGTGGACAGGAGCGGATCTACGCCGCAGACCTGCGTAGGTCCCCTCTCTCACCTCCCACTTCAGAAAGCGAATCAGCGCCCGGGAACGTCGCAAAATAGAAGTTTCTTCTCACCACGCGGTTGGTTGCGCCGACTTGGCCGGTAGTCCTTGTAGCTCCTCAGCATCTCATCGCCATCTTACCTCCGCCCCGACGGTCTTGGTCTCGATTCTTCCACCTTCCGTTGCCTACACGCGCCCTGTTTTCGCCAGCTATCCGCACGCAGCGCTCAATCCTCTTATAACCAACGTGACCTTCCTTCCACATCCCTGATCCTTCTATCAACTTGCGCACTCTGCTGCAGTTGATTCTACTCTTGGTCCCAAGTAACACGCTCTCTCAAAACAGCCGTCGTCACTTTCGTCGACTTTAGGGTTTGGAGTGCGCCAGAAAGCTGGGTTTCGCTGTGTTTTGGGGATTAGGGTTTTTTTTCGGTGGGGTCGTGATTGATTGTCACTCTTGTTTCTGGGTTGCTTCATCGATGTTATATTTGCCTGTGTCTTTGTCTTCTCAGGTCAGACCGAGGTTGCTCTACAGCTTTGACATTAGTTACAGCAAATCAGCAGTACCCACGTGATATTCTTTGCGTGAGAAGTAACAATCCTTAAACATCTTAAAAACATGTTTTTAAAATGAAAAGTTATAATCTCTAAACACCTTAAAAACATGTTCTTAGAATGTGTGAATGAGAAAAGATTCATTTACATTTTCCAACTTATATACAAAAACAATTTTGTTTAAAATAATTGTGATTTTATACATTTTGAATTACCAAACCCTAAACACACTTATTTTATATTTTATACATATATACATACATGGTTTACTTGGTATAAAGATTGATTGAAGGAACAAAAGTTACAAGTGCATTAGGACCATAGAAAATGGCCATCAATGGCACCAATAGCTAATCAAGCTCTCTTAGTCTCAAAACAAGCTTCACTAGGGCTAAGTCATTAGCCTTAGCAAGGTCAGCCTTGGTGGAATGGGTCATTTCTCTTATAGCTTGCCATAGAAACGGCTCTTTGAGGTTGAAGTCGGCCTCATTGTGGGACCCAAGCGGAGGCCATGTAGGGCAACCACATAATACAAGGTCTTACTTCTATGAGATACAAGGCAATGTAATTGGTAGAAGCCACTTTTCTTTGCGACAAGGGCTTCTTGAAAGAAGGGGGGGTTGGAATTGGGATCCTCAAGGAGCCAATGTGAAGCAGGTATGTATATGAAGCATAGTGTTGGACTTGGCTTATGTCGGCCACTTTGCTCGGTGGATAGAAACCATGCTTGAGCTGCCATGGCCTATGTGCCATGCAGCCACAACATCTACACGTTGATTGTCCCTCCTTGGAGCCAATGTGTTGTGATGCTCTTATACTTTGATTCCAAGACAATTTTAATAGAATATCATAAGCCATTATGACATTCATCTTCTATTAAATATGAGGTTATATTACTACATAGGATTTTAGTATGCCAACTAAGTGTCAACTTATATCTACATCCTATGATTTTATTTGCCATCCAAGATACTTTATACCTTTTGAAAATGTAATAAAATATGAAAATATAATAATATATATATGTATGTATGTATGTATGTATATATATATATATATATATTAAAAGCAAAGATATTTCTTTGGATCCAATTAATCCATAAACGTAGTTTTTCAATACCATTTATAAAGAATTAGATTCATTAAATTGTAAAGGTAAATATTATGTAAGTTTTTACATATATTTGATTTAAAGTTTTTCTTAAAATGTGTGTAAAATAGTGTATGTGTGCATAGGCATAATATCACTATTTCTTATATTATCTTTGCACCAAATTAACTATATTATAATTTATTTTTTTGTAGCTCAATGCTTGTACTCTATATCTTTCTAATTGAATTCAAAGTTGGAAAAAAAAATATCATTTCATTTGAAAGATGATAGCTTTTACTATAAAAAATTAATTTAGATTGAGATTATTTTAAATTTTAAAAAGTTTGTTATCATTTCATTTTTTTAGTGCCATATATAAGTCATAAGATTAAATTGTGGCAAAATATTTTTACTAAAAAATAATTTGATTGTAGTAGAAATTTTATTTTTACCTTTTGACAAAATTCATGATTCTTACATTTTTATTATTCTACAAATACCACTTCTTTAGCCTACTATGTTTGAATTTGGTCTTATAGAGACTCTTGATCTCAATGTAAAATTTAGAATTGCTTGCCAACTTTCTAAGAGAGACTTTATACTTAGGAAACAAGGTGAAAAGCCACAATTTTTAAATCCTTTGGTTGGTTGAAACTAAGAAGCTAGACAAAGCTGGCATTATATTTAGAAAAATCAAATTTTACTTGGCATGAAAGTTGCTAGTATAGGACTTTCATTTTCTTAAATTTCAAAGGCTTTAGTATAAAATAAAATGTTGTATATGAATATTTTTCTATCCAAGAAATGGATAGACTAATCTACAATTTTTTTTTTTTTCTTGAATAGATAGATTTCTTTATATAACTTATTTATCCTATATTCAATATATGAATTAATTATGTTATGCCAAAAATCTAAATCATTTGAGGTGAAGCATAGTTCTTCAAAAACTTTATTAAGTATAAGAATCTTTTCTTTATATGTTTAAGATGATATCTATAAGGTGTGTGTCTTATTTGTGAACTTTTGATGCTTGTTGTAAACTAACATATGAATTGATGATAAATTTTTTTGTTATTATATTAAAAACATTATTCCACACATTTTAGAAGCTTTCAAATCTTCTGAGTTGTAGCTATTCTAGCATCTTTGATCAAGCCTACCTAATCCTTAACAAGTTTTTGAAACCAACTATCTATGCATATCATAGGATAAGAGTCCACATAAAACTTAGCTACTATTTATATAAAGAATTGCTAAGTGGAAGCCTCCTTTTTATTGAATGGACAGCTCCATGCCATGCACTTCTACATACACACAATAATACTCTTCTTTATATAAAAGAAGTTAAATAAGTTTTTAATAGAGGAATCTTTGAAATAAAGTTGATAAGTTTTTTTTTTTTTTTTTTTTAGGAAAATAAAAATATTACATGAAATGTACCATGAAAATATTTCACATTTAATACATAAATTAATAAATTAATAAATACCATAAACTATTATATTAAAATTAATCATTATGAATTTACCCTAAATTTCTTTTACTGTAAATAAGATTTTTATTGTATATATGCGGGGGTGTATGGCATAGAAGGTGTTCATCGAACAATTCTTTTTATTTATTGTTCTTAGATTTTATATTATTAGGTTTGATATCAAATACGATTTTGAATATTAAATTTCTCAATCTAAAGATACCCGATAATTTATTGAGCCAATAATTCTTAGATTAAAAAAATTAAAATATATTTAAAAAAACCTAATATTTTTATAATATCTTTAATTTTGTTTTGGAATAATTTCTTTTTAAACAATTGACAAAAACTAAAAATTCAAAGATATTTCATTAATTTTTATGAATCTTACACCAATTTCTTTAATAACTATAAAAAATAGCATATATGCTACAATATATATAAATATATATATATATATATATATATATATGATTAAAAAAATAGTATGCACTATTGAAATTTTACAGTATTCAAACATAGTAGTATAGCTTTTTTATTTCATTTTAATTTTTTGAGAATAAAAGATTAGCCTACATTAAAAGTTTGTAATAATAAATCAAACAACGTAATGAGGATTTTAATAAGCTGAGTTTTTCTGTAACCAAGTCAATCTGTAGTTATTAGACAACTTCAATTATAGGATAAATTGATATTATTGAGAAGCAAAAACTTTAGTCCAATGTATTTTAAGTTTAAAGACTGGACTGGACTACATATTGTTAGTTAGTTAGTTAGTTAGTGTTTTTAAAAAGAATTAAAATCAAAATTATAAGTAGAGTCATCTGATTATAGGCTTAATATCTGTTAGTCTTAGATCTTCAGAAGTTTGATACTTTGGATTATTTATCTTTTTATTACTTCTTGATTGCATTTTTAGTTTTTATCTATTGTAACAAATAAATAGAGGGAAATCAAACATTCTTCTCTTAAACCTTAATGAATTAAAAAAATAAGATGAATAAAAAGTGATGAATATTTGTTATTGTTTTTTTCTTTTAAATAAGAATGAAACCAAGTTAAAGAAATACTTTTAAAATCCTAAAGTATCTAATTAGAGCAATGCAAGCATAAAGGCATTTTTAAATATAAATTTTGTTTTGTTTTTTTAAAATTATTAAATTCTTTTTATTTGATGTAATTTTGAATAATTTTTTTTGAATTTTAACTTGGAATGTTTAATAACTAGAGAACCTATTACATCTATTAGTTTATTTTTAGAATATAAAAGTTATATTTTTAATTAAATATAAGTATACATATTATATGTTTAGAGATTAAAAGAATAGATAGAAATTGCTCAAAAGAATAGGTAGAGACTCAAAATGTTATTTTTCATTTAGATTAAAAATAATTCGTTTTTTTAATAAATAGAATCATAAACATTACAAAGAATAAGAACATTTTTTTCTTTATCTTATAATTTTTAGGTCTTATTATATTTTAAAATATTTATTATAATACTTTATTTTGTATATATATATATATGTATATATTTATCTTTTATATTTATCTTTTGATTATTGTTTATAAAAATATTACTATCTTAATTGTAGAAGAAAATAGTAAGTATTATTAGTGATATTAAAATAATATATATATATATATATATATATATATATATATATATATATATATATATTCTATTACAAAAACTCAAAAAGAATTATGGGGTAATAAGATTAATACTATTACATGAAAATTGGTAACTTTGACATACTTATTAAATCAATAAGATGATTATAGTCAAGTTTAAGTGTACTTAGTACCAAATTGCAATAAATTATAACAATACAAAGATATTTTTGACTTGTCATTTTTATACCATATGTAATTTTAGTGCTATCATCAAAGGTTGTAATGGAATTATAAATAATAAGTAACAAAGTTATAATAATATGATAAATGATAAGATATAAGATTAGATAATATCATTTAAATACCATAAATATAGATAGAAGATCATAAACAACTTTGAGCACCTTAAATAGATGTATTGGATGTTAAAAAAATTTAGATGTTATTAAATACAGTTTAAAAAAAAAAATTGAGATTTGAATTGGATGCAAAAAAAATTTATTTAATATTTGGAAAGTTTATATCCAATTTTCAATAATAGTACAAATTTAGACTTAACTATAAAATACTTGTAGTATATTTGGTATTGTCCAATATTATAAATCCATATTAAAACACTACATAGAAGAAAAGGTTAAAATGTTCTTAAATATAAATAGTGAAAAAATTAATAATAATAATAATAATAATAATAATAATAATAAATCAATATCATGTAAACATGCATATATACATGAATATAAGAATATAAATATGTATATATATATATATATATATATAGTATAATATTAAGCTTGTCAAAAAATCTTCTTTATTAAATAGAGAATAAAAGGTTTATTTTTTAAAATTCAAAAAGTATAATTATTTTATTTTTAAAAGAATGAAAAACTTTTCTTGTAACAAGTTTTAATGCACAGATTAAAATCTCTCCTTGATTACAAACTCTTTACATACTTACATTTATACATACATACATGCACATGTGCACATATGTTTATTTATATGAATATTGAGCGAGAAATAAATAAAAATACTCATTTGGTTGTGTTATAAAGTAATCAATCATAATGTTATACATCCACCAAAATATATAATACGACATATATATATATATATATATAGTTATAATCGAGAAAGAAATCATGGTCCGCAAACAACGAAGGAGGGAACAACTTAGCTCAGCTGTGAGACTCAAACTGCAGCATCAGTTATGGATTCTCACATGCTCAGTCAATCCCTTTCGTATCTATCTAGAACTGGTTCATGAGGTTTGAACCTGACAAAACCTGTAGATTCAAATTCAAGCTTGCCCAATTGTAAAATATGTAGACTGGTATGTTGGAGCACGTGCTTGAGGTCCCATTCTTCAGATGTGTAGTTATCTCTGACGGTTTCGGGGGTTTATTGCAGTTGTGGACTTCCGAAACCACTGTGTATAGTCTCTCTCTCTCCCTCCCCTTCATGAACAAAAAGTGATGCAAATTGCGCAGTTGCAGTAGAGGCAGCAGCAGCAGGAGCTTATCGAGGAGTAGCAATTATGTAGCATGAACGCTTCTGGCACCCCCTAACCACATCTGAGACAGGTGCGATGGCCCTGCTCGTTGCAGTGTCACATGATAGTAAACCCATTTTCTGGCACACTCGAGTTAGTGGCAGAATCTCTCCCCTGTGGTCCCTCATAATCGCGGGTGATGATGTTAGCCTAGTACTGAGAGAGTTCCGGTATTCAACAGGAGTGTTGGTTCTCTCATGTAATCGCCGGAGAGGTCCGGCCTTGATGGGAAGGGAAAAAGGGGAGTTCACCCCCCAGACAGCCTGTTCTGACACCAAACACACATAAAAATGCTTTGTTGCATTTCTGTGCCTGCAGACTGTACTGCAGGTGGAGTTGCTCAATCCAGCATCGGAAAAGGAAAGGCGAGAAGACAAAAGCCCCGAGACAACAAGCCAACGAAAGCGGTCCGTCTAACACTGTAGAGATGAAGATGCACCATTGAAGGTCCAGGAAGAATCTGTTAAGTTGTCTAGTAACAGCTGACCATTACCTCTTAGTTACTGCTTCTGAGCTTTGGCAAGTGTGGTAGGGATTCAGAAACTTCATAGATGTAACGGGCACACGGTTCAATCGATGGAACGGTAGGAAAAGATAATGGATTCTTCTGGATATTGATGTGAAATGTCTTGCGCGTTTTCTCAATCTTACATCTCATCTTTAGTAGCTAAAATATTCACAACATTTTGAAAATGTGACAATTTCGGTTTCGTTTCCAAAACAGCTAGGATAAATGGAAGTCAATGGCCAACATATTTAATGAATAAACGTCACGACTCATCACATTTAAATTTGTGGAAGATGAAAAGACGTCAGATCCAGTTGCCTTGAAACTAATGATGAGTACTGACATTTACTCGTTTTACTTTCCATTACCCTTTAAATTCATGATAGAAAGAGAATCCTTATCTAGTGATGCAAAAACTTTAAAACGCATACTTCGTTGTCACCCTCGACACTCGAGAGAGCAGCATGATATTCCAAAGCTTCAAGCGCAAACTGATAAGTGATTGAACCTTAGAACCTTGTCTAACCACATGAACCCACATCGCAACTCCCACAAGCACCCTGTAGCTGCCAAGAATGTCAGTGCTTACAACTTTGCCCTACTGATGGCAATCAATCCTAAAAATCCAAGATGGTGTACACGCGATTTTCAACACAAAGAATTGATCTTTTGAGATGTACCATCCAATTCGTTCACTAAAGCAAGGTATACTTTTAAGAGGTTTCATGCGTACAACACCCAATAAAACGTATGATTCAAAAAACTACACAAAATTTTTATTACAAAGCTAGCCATCATTACGTTTATTTACTAAACGTATCCAGACTATGCATCAGGCTTATATTACAACAAGAAAAACTGCACTATCAGAAATTTTCATGTTCCAAGGGATGCACCCTGCTCAAGGTCCTCGCACACACCCACACTGCTTCAACAGTGAGTGAATGTCATCTACCTAAAACGTCTATCGTCTTTCAAACAGACCACAAACATTAGCTCTTAAACGGAAGCTGTATCTAGCATAGTTTGAGAACGATTCAGCTTAAGGGAACCAAGCCGGAAATATATGCGTCCCAGAGTTGCGTTGCGCAGGGCCGTGACATACAAGACAAGTCACGGGAATCCAGGCAAGATGCCAATAACAAGGACGAAAAGAAATTATATGCTCCCCGATGACAAGACCAAGGCGGATATACATGCGTTAAACATACTGCAACAACTTAAGCATCCAACTCAGGGAGATCAAATGCAATAGCACCAGTTTACTTTCTTCTTCAGAGGTCGATTAGATCGCCAACTTCAGTGCTGTCGCTATCACCAAGTCATAAATGGCTGAAACTCTGCTATCATTAGAAGTTTGACGCCCAACCTTGAAAGAAAGTTTTCCACCGACTCATTGTTCGATATCCACATCATAGGCACCGTCAATCGCCTAATAATACGCCTTGCGAGGGTTGTTCTGTGCTCAATTCAACAATCCAACACGCACAAGTCATTTTGTCAGTGTACACTCTACATGGGAGCAAATATGCTTCCGTAATCAAGCCACAACACACATCTGCATACAAGCACAAAAGGTTCACACACACTGCAGTGATGATGAATTGGAGCTTTACCAGAGGATTAGGCCGAAACCGATACCCAAGCATCATACGTTTCTTGTACTGCTCATAAATATCGTCTTCTGCTGTCACCTCACCCGGTTGCTCCGCACCGACACCCAGATTGTTCACTTTCACGCTTCCAGCTTGCACTGGATCTGCCATTCCGCGTCTACCACTTCCCAAGCCTTCTCCTGCAAATCAGACGAGGACTAAACATCGATCAGACCCTGCATCCCATTTGTGATCTACATCTGCGCTGTCCGAAGATGCATTTCCCAACCCAAATAGTGAACAAAATGATAGTGTACTCAACAGTCTAATTCGACCTTACAAGAAAGACCATGTTCTAAATCATACAAGAGGAGGCGTCCCAACCAACCTTACCTTCTTTCCAACCCATCTTAGACAGCAACCGGTGTCCCACATTGTCGGCTTGAATTTTTGCACGACCGGCTGTCGCTTTTGCTGCCTTCGCATCGTTGCACTTAGCCAAAAACTTCTCCAATTCCTCAGGAGGAATGTAGTCGCCCATGTGATGTCCTTTCTTCCCTGCAAGTAAAAATTACCTGGACATCAACCTTTCCGTCCACTACCTGGAGAGAATCCTATCCTGAAATATCCTCTATATGGTCGCAGACAATTCGGACCACACGGTACCGCATTGACCAAAATTCAATGAATGCAAAGCTCAAATGACGCACTACACAAAGTCGTCAGCCCTGTCTAATAGTTACTCTTCATCAACATCAAATAATGAAATCCAGTTCGACATATCACAGCTTGGTAACACCCTACATGCTCAATGCCTTTCAGATACCAGTATTCCAAATTTTTCCGACTTATGCAGGAAACAAAACCAGGACATTCAAATTTATACGTATATTGAGATAATTTTGTAATGAAAAGGACCTGAGCCACCATCCTCGACAACCCCTACGGTTGAGGTGACATAAGTGGAACGTGCATCTTCTGAATCCCACACACATCATTAAATTAAGCCAGTAACTCTACCAAAACACAGCATAATTCTCCGGGAGGACAGCAACGGCTTAATCATTCAGTCAACATTGTACCGCTCTATGACATAATATTAACCATCACACAAACCAACCTCGAAAGCATAATATATTCACTTCACCTGCGATAATTGACTCTTCGTGTTGCCAAGTCTCCGTCAAACTAGAAGTTTGACTTGCTGCATCAAGCGAACAATTATCGCCATCAGGTCACGCTAGATTACATAAACGTCACGAGCAGATGAACAGTCACAAAATACTTCGCAACTTTTAAAGCTATGGAAAATAGGCCTTTTACTTGAGCTTCAAACAATACATCCCTGAAACAGGAACGCCTACAAAATAAAATAAAATAAAATGATAAGGTATTCATACAGAACCACCACGCTTTAAGTTAAGGTGCCATCATTCGCGAAACATACGCTAACCTGATGGTGGGGGATGTAGACCCGGAGGGGGAGGCATTTCATCCTTAGACTGCTTTGGAGGTTTACGTAAAGCCTCCTGCGCGGCCTTCTTCGTGTAGAACTCCATCATAGCCACTGAATCATTTGCATAGGGATGTTGGTTGTATCTATCTGTAACGTCGTACATACCAATGCGAGCATCTTAGAACAACTTGTCATCAGATTCGATAATAACAAACAAATAAGCAACAAACAAATAAACCTGACCTCAAACGACATGCACATGTTCATAACCGAGCAAAGCACAAAATGTACGTATCGTTCCTTATAACCTGTCAACAATGTAGGTTCTAAGTTGCAAAGAAGTCACTCAAGTTCACATTTCCCACATCGAACCTTGCACGTGTTCACATGGAGACCCCGATGAAAAAGATGGCCTCTGATGCTCACTACCGCCGCTATACAATGCAGATGCTGGTGTCTGATACCTCAGCTGTTGCCCTTCACTCGACTGCCTCCAAGAGTTGCTTTGATTGCTGCTACCACCCCCTACATCTATCAAACGACATCAGCTTCACTCAACGACTGCTAAGCTCTAGGATTGAGCTTAAATGAATGATTATCTCGTCTTCAAGCATTAAAACATAGCTAACCACCACCTGTACATGTTTTATCACTGCATAGTGCATAATTCTTAGTGAGTCCAAACCTGAATTGGACGTTTGAAATGCCCCAACTTCGCTAGCCAGAACTGCCTCCTCTTGAGCAACTCTATGCAGGTAATACTTGTACTCCACGGACTCCATATCATAGAGGAAGCTGTTCACAGCCGCAAGCCCTCAAAAATTCATTAACGCCTCAGACCATCTACGCAGTACATAACATAACACAAATAATCTCCGAAGATCTCTCAACTTATACTATTGGTCAATATTAAAAACTCGCAAACGCAGACATTAACTAAATGACAACGACAAACCTAAAAGGAGTGTTGCCAGGGTTCTTCCGACGGGTGATCTCCTCGAATTGGCGTCCGTTCTTCGCCACGAATAGCGCTAGTTTGTCCGCAACCTTCTTCACCTCTCCGTTAGGAGGAGGGACGGGAACTATTACACAGTCATGTGGCAAAAGGTTAAGGCCTCCACATCATCTTTGGAAGAGGTACTGCTCAAAACGTTAACATGAAGTTACCCAGCGATTCCCTACAGCCGCTACTTTGTCAAAATTCGGCTTGATATGTACATATATCAACCTGAACAAATGTAAGCCAGCGCGAAGAACCGCAGGATCGCAAAAATCATAGCTGAAAATACCGGTAAACGAGATGGTATCGCACCAAAGTCCTTCGGCTCTGGTGATATGCTCTTCGATGTGATTCTAGTCTTCGACCTCTTAGCTTGTCTCTGGGTATCCTCATCATCTTCTTCGTCATCGTCTTCTCCAAATTTGATTGCATTGACGGCCAGCCTAGACTTCTGCTTCAGACTGAATGCTAATTTCCCATTCGGTAAACAACCCTTGGAAACAGTTCCGGATTGGGAGGCACCTGCACCCTTACTATTGGAGCTCACTTTTGGTGTTTTCGTGGTCATCAACACCACAGGACCAGTCCTAGTAGGCTCGGGGGGAGCGTTCTGCTGCAGCTGCTTGAATCTCTCCAAAAACGAACCATCGTTGGGGAAGGAACTCGCCATCCTCTCTGTTTGCCTCCTATCTTTCTCCTACTTCCGCACTCCTACTGTTTCAGGTCCACACACCTTCCTATCCATTCAACAACTTTCAAACTGCCTAAAGACCAAAATGCAGTCGAATGCCAGAAAACTCTCGACTAAACCTAACGTCATGTAGTTCTTGACAAAACACACCCTCAGAACTTTTCTGCAGAGAGGAGGCAGTGCAAAACGCACTACATCGATAATTCCAATCCCTCCCAACTTATCATCCCCAAATTCAACCACATTACGCTTGACTTATGACTTGATTGGAACTAGGACCTGATAAAAGATCGGCTTCGTAGTGATGAAGCTAACTTCAAGAAACATGGATCACGAAAAACAAAATCTGGCATTTATCATTTGTACAACTCACAAAGAACGCTGTCTTTGATTCGGTTCGTCGATGCAGACAAATATCATGATCTGAACACTGTGCACTGACTGCCGCCAATTCCACCCCCTGCTCATACTCCAGGTCAGCAATCTACATACAGCATTCGCCCCCACACGAATCTGCCTCACATCGAATTCCTTCACCCAAACCCCTCGAACACTCTCCCTATTCCCAATTTCCACTCCTTGATCGTATTACTGAGCCAATTACAATTCTCAAACCTCCGTTGGAGGATGTCCGTCCCACCCTTTGTTAAAACTGCACTGCTCACCGAGTCCTCCATTTTCTGTCCCATATTCTCTAAACATAATATCCAACGCACACTACCCTCTACCCCCACCCACTTCTAGCGACATCGGAAGGAGCAACTTCATCGCAAATTATCATCAAGACCGGCAGACGAAGCAAAAGCAGGAGCAACAAACACCGGCAACCCATACCTCAATTTCGACTCCTGTAACCAACTCCTGTCAATCTCTGTACGAAAATTTGAACGGGTCTTGCTTGTTTAACTCGAAAACTCATCACAAGCTCATTCACAAAGTTCTACCCAACCATCAACCACAGCCAACTGAAAATTCTACATATCAGTAGCCCTGCCTCGTCTCTCTCGGCTTCCGGAACACGGAAATCTCATAAGTCCACTGAAATCGAGTCGAATGCGTTTCTGCACGAAAATCTGCACACAAAATTCACATCGAAACTACATCTGGAGAGCTACGTACACACAAACAAATCGAGGCTCAAGCTGAGGAAACCCTAATCGCAGGAAAACCTCGTGAAACTGGGAGTTGGAATGAGAGACGCGGAAGAGAGCATCCAGTGATGGATGGACGATTTCGTCTTTTATTCGTCATCCAACACTTTTCTTATAGAATAATATGGGCTTTTAAAAAAATTGTTTCAATAATGTTTTATCAGATTTATTTTTATTTTATGTATACATGATGCTGAATTTTAAATATTATAAAAATTATTATATTCATTCTAAAGCTAAATAATATAAATGACTATCTCATAAAAAATAATATTGTCAAAAATTAGACTATACTATTAACTTGTTCTCTTCTACTATGTTTTGAAAAAGTTGTGTTTTAAAATATATAACACTTTAAGAGGGATTGTGTTATCTTGTTGTTGTGGACTACTATAATTATTTGTAATTTGTAATTAACACTTTATGGAAAATTATTTTATTTTATGTGTGCTGATATATACAATCTTAGGTTGTAATTTTTACAACTGTTTAGAACATGCTTAAATTGTAACCCATGTTTAAGTGATAATTTCATCCTACATTTATATTTTAGACACCTCTAGAATTCGATCCAAAATGTTGAACTTATTCATTCTTCACCACCCAAACACTCAATAGATCAAACAATACAACAACTTTGTTCACAATTTTTTATTTTTACTTTCAAATGATACAACAGGAAAATGATTAAAAATAATCCTTTCCCAAAATGTAATTTTACTTCCTCAAATTGCAATAAAATTTCAGCTTACTTTTCTGGTGAGTACAGAACTTCGTATGCCTGTATTCTACACCACAAACAGAAAATATGTAGTACGTACGAGATACAATACAATACAATACATATACATACATACCGTCCATATACATATCAAAATCATAAACCTCCGAGCTCGCGAGGCCTCGCCGCTCGACAGTGGCGCAATTGAGTCGAGGATTGCTACGAAGAGAGAGAGAGAGCAAGAGCGAGATTGCAGATGTGGGTTCTCGCAATTTCTACGAGAAGTCAAGCGTCGAGCCTCTCTCTCGGCATTGACGAGCATTGCGGAGCGAGGGGAAGGGAAGGGAAGGGAAGGGCAGGAGTGTAAGTAACCAGGGATAATGGAGACCACGGGGGTTTACTTGCGCCCATCTCCAACTGGCTTCGTGCCGCAACATCGCAATTGCCCCAGTTTGCACTCAGTTCCGAATGTGCCTGGATTCGGTTTCGGTTTGAGGAAGAATTTGCAGTTACATGGGCGGAAGCTGCCACTTGGATTGAGCCTGAGGCGAGCTGGTTCGTGGGTCGGGCGGATACAAGCCTCAAGTGTGGGCTCTGGAGAGTTTCAGGTATGCTGCGTAATGAATTTCTCAACTGGCTGGGGTGCGGTGTTCTCTCTCTTTTTTGGCTGTTAAATTGTGGTTGTGTGTAATGATATTCGAATTTTTTTCTCTTGAAGGGGTCGTATTGACTATTTTGCATTTTTGTCCATTGTGACGTATTTCTCCTTCTTCTTCTTTCTGTCCTGTTATTTTATCGAGATTCGGAATTGAGGAGCTAATGTGAATTCGCTCATGGTTTCTATAGTCGGAAATTGAGGCATTACGGAAGATGCGAGTGATAGCCATCAAGCAGGAGCTGGATGCACTAGGTACCTCTTGCTCATGTTTGCAACATTTCTGGTCTACAGTTTATGGTTTTGCTTGTGTCGTGGTGTTTTGAAGTGGAAATATAAACTTACGGCAATCAGCTGTGGGTGTCACTATTTGAACGTTACAAAATTGGAAACTGATCAAATTGATCTATTGATTAGAATTCTCTGCCAGGCTGAGGCTTAATACAGAGGATGTGACCTTTTGGATCAATTCGATTCTGCCGGAGAATGTCTGACAGGGGATATGGTGGGATAGGCCCTTATCCCTTGGAACTCTCTTTGTAGGAGAACCCGAATCGTTTTGAGCTTCGTGCCTCCTCTTCCTCCTCTTTAGGTCCTTCCAATCACAAGAACCCTTCGAAGCAGGACCTTTGCCTTAACGTTATATCTTGAGTTCATGGCTTTTGTCTTCTTATGCGCAACGGTGGGTCAGGTGTTTCTTACAGGGACTGCTTCGAGAAGGAGGATCTTGTCAAACGTCTAGCACGCGAGAGAAGGAGGACATGGCACAGATTACCGATGCGCAAGCTTAAAAGTACAGCAGCGTCTCCCAAAGAGTATATCATCATCCCTCTTACATTTGGCAACCTCGGCACCTTTGATTTCTTGCTTGACACTGGCTGCAGTACCACTCTAGTTAGTCCTCAGGTAGCCCATAACAAGCTGGGCATCCTACCCGGGTCAGGAACAATGTCGCGGGGCCTTGGTGGTATGGGAGATGGAGGTCTTGCTATGCGTAAAATATCCCTCCCTGCAATGAATATCGGCGGAAAACTTTGCAAATCAGTTGAGGTACGACGCCTCGGAGACTGGATGCAATGTGTCACCATTTATTTGTCTTCTTGCAGTACATTCGTGGATGTTGTGGGAGTTCTCCGTCTGAACTTGGTTTTATTATAAAGTTCTTCGAAAGTAAAGGATGTTAACTAACACGTTTTGTGAAGTGGCTTCGCAGGGTATTATTATGGATTTAGCCAGCACGGGACTCCCTCCATCAGTAGCAGGCATTGTTGGTCTTAATGTACTTTCTCAGTTTGATGTGGAGTTTGACTTCGTGAAGGAGCACATCACTTTGTATGAAGCGGGTGCTGTCGAACGAGGACAATGCAGTCAAGAGGGATTGCAGAAGCTTGCAATGATTCCCATCTCTTTCAATTTACAGAAGCTTGCAGAGGAGCCTCTGCCCATGGCTTTCACGTTACCAGGAGTTCAAGTAAAGATACTGCAATGCAGCAACGATTTTTAGTTTTTTTGAAGTTTTTTGAACTATATCACATGATTCAAATCTCTTCACAACAGCTTTGAATTACAGATGTGAAGCCTTCTAATATTTAAAGAGTGGCTCTGAATCCATGGTGCTGATTAACCAGTATTCGTGTCGATTCTTATTACAAAATCTAGATTTATTTCTTCAGCTGTACGAATGTAATATTAATTAATTAATTTATTTTCTTGTCTCAAGCCATGACGATTGTGACTGACGTAATGAGTGGATGCTTGAATAAGGTTGACTTGGGTGGAGGCAATATGCAAACGGCTCTCATCGACCTGGGATCCTCGCTGAGTGTCACCACACCGGATATAGCTAAGCGTTCAGGTGCAACTTTGGTAAGTTGCTTCAACGTTCATTCGCTAGATTATGAATTGCACACCATGACAGTTCTGTTAACACATGTTGAAAATAGTATGAACCTTTCGATCGTTGTTCGGTATCCTCCTCCCTTACTAGCATATCTCATATGGTAGGCTAGTGACTTTACATTGAAGGCGCTCGATTCATGTTTGCAATGGATTGTCTGTGGTTGGCAGGAAATGGCAGCATTTTCAGGGGTTGGAGTTGGCGGTCAACAAATGCCATTTTCAAGGGCTGACATGGACGTTACAATGTTTAATATGGCGAAAGATAAAATTGTATTCAAGAAGATTCCCTTCGCGGTTGGTGATCTTCCTGCACTGCGAGCAATAGAATGCAACATTATTCTTGGGCTTAATGTCTTCAGTAGAACTCGTCTCGTCCTTTGTATGTCTACGAAAGATCTATACTTACAAACTTTTGTATGATTTTGTGTATGATCAAAATTCCAATCCCTGGTTTGGTTGTTAATGTCAACCTTGACCAATCATGTAACTAATCTACAAGAGTTGTCTCGTTTTAATTTTGTGGAGGTCTCTCACTTGTCAGCTCTTGTAGAAGTTGACCTCTCTTTATTCTGTTATGGCGTTACACACGATGAAGAAATTGTAAGCATTTTAGAAATTATGTTTAGCATAAATGGTAGCAATTTGTGTACACCCCTTCATTGCTCTTGCTGATGGTGCATCAGGAGCACATAGGTTACTTGCTAAATCAAAATACCCCAATGTCACTTGTTACTTCACCCTTTCATCAGGTGGTAGGCCTACTTCATTTATGAATACGTGCTGTGAAAGAGTGCTTTTCAAAATGATTTGGTAGAATAGAGTAAAGTAAAATTGGACATATTTCAACCAGTCGTTCATTTAAAACGCATGTTACAGAATGGTGTGCATTCACTAACTGTTCAGTTTAGAGAATTTGAACGAAGCAGAAAAGGGAATTAGGATCACAGGAAAGTGAACCTGAACAGCAACAACTATCAAGGAGTCACATCATCATTCACGAAGTGGGTGTTGAGAAATGAAATGGTGAGAAATCTGTGTAGTCTTTTTGAAGGAGATGCTGTCGGAGGAAAACAAATTCTAGTCTGAAGGGATGTCTAGATCCACAGCCCATACACGCCTCGAATGGGAACACAGCAAAATGAGGTGGGACAAAGTATAAACTCAACATCCAGTTCAGCATGTTAGAAAACGTCAAGCCCTAGAATCTGGTTCATTATATGCTCTAGATTCCAACAGTGGACCTTTTATTTTATTTTTAGAAGGGTCACATCCACCTGAGTCTTACTTTTGACTGCAATAAAAATCAGTGAATCCAAGGAACTGTATAATCGTGCATGGGTCCTACTCCAACATAATGCAACTAAAACATGCTCAGTGGAACTGGCAGAGGAAAGTGAATTTCTCCTCCAAAGACAACAATTGTTCAAAGTCTGTACACATACCCATTTCCGTATTCTCTTGGAAGAATTATTGTGGTGTTAGTGCTTTTCCACATGCTAAATTGCAGCTATTCGTGTGATCTGAAGAGTGGGAAACAGGGCAAAGTAAAAGTCTGTTGTCTTGTGTTTCAGAGAAATAAAGAATAAACAACAACAACAACAACAACAAAGTTGTAGGGCATTGTGGTCTGAGGGATATTTGGTAGCCACAAAAACTCCCCATGTAATGTGAATCTATTTAATGCGTATTACAACTACTTTCTTCTGACACTGCTGTGACTCTGAACATGTCCCCGGCGAATTTTGTGCTACGTTGTAAGTTTGTTGTTTATTTATTTATTTATTTTTTTTTGTGGGGTAAATTACGTGTGGCATATATATATATATATATATATATATACAGACTATGTTTTATGTGATGGTGGGAAAAGATAAACTTAGTTGGTGATGGATGCAGCAAGTCAACCCTAAAAGTTGATGGAAATAACAACATTTTGCCTGTGAATGAGAATGTGTGGACCAGGAAATAAATCTAATAAAAGTTTGTTTATTTTTTTGAAGGTTATGAAAAGCAAGGGATGCAGATTTTGGTATCAGCTTTGTCCAACTTTGCCACAATCAAAACATTGAGTTCAAAAGAGCAACATGTGATGTTTTTGTTTTTGTTTTGTTTTTGTTTTGTTTTTTTGTTTTTTTGTTTTTTTTTTCAATTTATTTAATAGAATGTAATTTAGTATGAATGAGCTTTGGTTATCTGTGGAAAATTGATATAAAAAGGTGCAACTTGTGTTGCTATGTAGAAAACAATTAAAGTGCATCATGGTATGTTATGCTTTAGTTCTTTAATCCAACTATGTTATTCCAAAATATTGGTTCATATTTTGGTTTTATTGTCAATTTTTAAAGTTTGAAATACTAAGTAAATGTTAAAGAATGTAGCATCTTAAATGATGTCATATAAATACATCATTGGATCATGACTATAGTTGATTGAAGGAGGAAATCAATAGGATAGGTTGTTATCACAACAAAGAAACAATGAACATTTATTAAAAGAATTCAAGAATAATGATGCCCCAAGAGTAGAAAAGTGGAATAGCAACGTTGTAAGTTATGTCATTTGATTGAGGATGCAACTTGAATGCAATGACCTCAATGTTGATATTTGTAGTTTCATCTTTAACAATTATAATATAAATATAAAAACCAAACAAGACTAATTTTTTAAAAATTGTGTTCATTTTTTAAACCAAGATATTTTATTTATTATTTATTATTTTTGAAAAATAAAGTTTTTATGAAAATCAAGTGAGTTAAGTGTCTTGAATAGTTAAATTTAATAGCAATAAGAGATTTAGGATTCAGAAACTTGTGCAAATATTTGGGCAAAATAATTAATTCTTGCAATTATTAAATTGATATGGAGATATTTCAATTGATCATTTAAAAAAATTAATCAAGCTTCTTCAAGATTGTTTACAAGATGTTATAATTGTCTATCATATACAATATATATTGTGCTAAGGACACACTATGCCTAACTTTCTTTAGAATGCTTGCGGATGTTGTCTATAATAAAGATCTACCTCATAGAGTTGCATCTAAGATTATATAGACCAAATACATTACATAACTACAACAACTTTTTATCTAATTTTTTGTTATCAAAATTTATTATTATTTTTATTTTTTAGTTTTTTAGAGACTAATTGTAATATTTAAAATAGTTTTAATGATATAAATATATATATATATATGTATATATATAAAAGTTAAAAGAGAGAGTATTATAATTACAATTAATAATAGAAATAAAGATAAAAATTGTAATTTAATCAAAATATTCTTTTCCAATAATAATAATTATAAAAATTGAGTAGGTTAATTAAATTTATAAGCTAATAAGTAAAGATATAAGAACTATTTTTTAATTTTTCAATAAAAAATATAATATTTCAAATTTTAGTAATATAAATAAAAAATTAAAAAAATTAAAATTAATCTAAAATTAAATTCAAAACTTATTCTTATAAGATAAAACATATAATAATTTAAATTCAATAAATTTAAAATAAATATCTTTATATTGTAGGCTACAAAATTTATAAAATAAAATAAATCAAAAAATAAAATAAATATTATTATTTTTTAAAAAAGATAGAAAATATTAATATCATAAGATCTATCAATTATTTATTTTAAATAAATAAATTTTAATTCCATTATTTTAAAAAATAAATTCTAAAAATAAATTCAAAAATATAACCAAAGCTTATTTATTTACACTTTTCCAAAACAATATTAAGGATAACTTCTAAAATGATAATTTTTAATTTTTTTGAATTGTTTTATCATTTGTAATATATTTGTAAATATTTATAGTGAGATATTTTTTACTTCATTTATAAGAACTTTATATTAATATAAAGAAAAAAATAGCTCCTATCATTGTAAAAACAATTCTTAAGAACATACATATATTATTTACTTTTAAGATCTATGATAGAATATGTTTTTTAAAAAACATATAATAATTTAGGAGAATGTTAAATAGATCCAATTTTTTTATTATATCAACCTATCCATAATAAAAAAATATGGTAATCATAATAAATATGTTTGATTTGCATTGTTTTTAGATCCAATAATAGAAAAATAAATTTAGAGTTTTTTTTTTTTTTTTTTTTTTTTTTTTTTTTTTTCATGATAGTTAAGATGGGTGGATTAATTTAGTAGAATTCTAATTCTGTTTGATATTCTTCTATATTTGTATCATAATAATATTAATAATTATATCTATTATATGCTTTAGATAATGAATAATAAATTATTGCATAAAGATATTTTAAAAAGTTGAATATAATTTTAAAAAAATACAGTAATATTCTTATAAATATAACGTATATTACATCAAATATAGACATTAAAGTAAAAATATATGATCTAAAAGAATTTATTTATATCAATGTGAAAACATAATTAACTGAAATATATATATAAATATATATATATATATATATATATATATATATATTATTCTACTAAAAAAATAACTGAAAAAAACTTGTCCCATATTTTATTGATTTAAAAGTTAAAACAAGTGTAGAAACAAAATTTGTGCAACTCCACAATGTACCTCTATGAACATAATCCCACACAAACTCTCTCTCTCTCTCTCACTCTCTTTTTGTCTTCCCACTCAACAAGTTGCATTCTGCAAAAGGAAAGATTTCATGGTGCTCTTTTATCTTCTTCCTCCTTCCTACTCAGCAAGTTGTTTTCCCCCAAACAATAAGTTGTAACAAAATAACAAAAATGACATGTGGTCTCGTTTTTATTTCTCAGAGGGTCCCACCCACCAATCCTATCTATCTAGTAGTACTCTCATGGACTTCCCGATTGCTGGACATGTTATCTAAGAAGTTAGTTCAGGTTCAGGTTCAGGGTCCATTCTCGTGCAGGTTCAGGTTCAGGGTCCATTCTCGTGCAGGTTCAGGTTCAGGGTCCATTCTTGCGGACTAGATGAAGAGCGATGACTGAAGTAACTCCCACTGACTTCGGCATATTCAAATGCCTCGTATCCCAACACAAAATTGCTTTTTGAAGCAGAGATTAGCTGCAGGATTGAGTAGACTGCGTTGACTGGAAGGGTGGCGGTCCAACGGTTTCAGAATAAAAAGTTTACAGGCACCGGCCTAACTAGTCCGCAAAAGACCATTCCGACTTCAAGACAGAGGACCAATCGTCGATCTCATGCAGCAAGAGAGCGACAGAGCAATACCCAGCAGATTTTCATATGGACGCTGCACTGGTGTCCATGGTCTGCACGTAGTTCGTCGTAGTTTCGGCCGACGAATTCACATAACCGCAGCTTGGGACGCAGGTCGTGAACCTGTCGAGATAGTGGTATTCCCGGAGAGTATCAGCAAGAATTTGATTGTTGACTACAAGACTTGCCGAGGAATGCTTTTTCATCCGCACGTGCTGCTCCAGAACGTCATTTTGAATATTCATGACTATTGTTGTTGACATCGCCTACAGTCGACAAAATTGTGGACTGAAAGCATTGTTGACTGAATCGAATTGCAGCTTCATAGAGGTCGGGAAGTTCGCTTTTTCGGTTCTTGATTCCATCTTAAACCTGTACCGGATTTTTTTTGTGGTAAATGGTCTTGTGGTTTTATCTCTGTAATGTCACGTGAGGGCCAAGGGATGGCGTTGTATCATGGTTGCACGGAGAGGACTGTTCGCTTTAGTGAATGAAGGATGTGTGATCTATTGTCTTACCACCAATAGTCATACC